CTTTAAATTGCTCTATGAAAGTCTGATGCTTTGCACAGTATTATAAATACTGTGGGATTCTGCTTCTATCTTTTCTCAAAGTTTTTTTAAAATGTTCACTTTCAACACTGTCCTGAAAGGAGACACTCAACATTTGGAAAATACCCTGCAATCAAGTCATTATACCCACGTGTTCCCAGCTGGAATCAGACAAACTGATAATTAAAGAGTGGACACTGCCTCAGCCTCCTTCCTTCATGTGTTCAGCATGGTGTCAGTGTTTAAGCAGTTTCTTTCAGGCTCGCACACAGACCTTAACATCTTCCTTTTATTTTTTCGATTGTCTGTTTGTTTTATATTCATGTCTCTTACAACCCCCAAGAAATCTAGGGCAATTGGGTTATTAACATAATTTACGACCCCCCCAACAACAACAACAACAACAAAAAAAGATAAAGAGTAAAATAACTACAAACAAAAACAAAACAAGGAAGGCAGGTCGGAACAAGCAAGATGGAAGCCACTCCGCCCAGCCACGCATTGGGCCGTCGGACCGGAGCACTTCCTCTAAACCTACAGCATAACAACTGAACCGAACCTAAGAGAAACAAAATCGCAACCATAAAACAGATTGCATGACCCGCCAGGCCAGAAAACAAAACGCAGGTTGCCTCTAGAGCGTCTTGACTGTCAAAGGAAGCGTGCACCCGCGTGAGGTCCCGTCCCCTTATATGCGTCCGTCCATCACGGGCTGAACCAGGCACACCTGAGAGCAGAGCATGGCCACACACCAGGCAAAGGAGGAGGGGCACACAGAGAACAAAGCTAACAATGTCATCCTGGTACATTACAGTGGCACCCCAGAGATGTAATGTTGCACGTACTGAGGGACGCACACATAAAAAAATAACGAATAGTAATAGCTGTGTAGCAGAGGCCATGATATTAAGGGTCAAGATCCAAAAACACTACATCCTACATCTCCCATAATGCAACTTGAGAGCATTTCATTGGTTCATTAGATCCTCTTTGCCTGGTAAACCCCCACATCTTTTTACAACCTCAGTTTGTAACGCAAACATTTTGTCATAGCCCAGGCTGAGATAATTCTGATGACACCCCCCATAATGAATGAATTTAATGTGTTAAAAAAAAGGGGAGTTCCCCTTTAATATTGTACATGGTGTGTAGATTTTCTCCTGTATGTATATGCAGCATAATGCAGAATTAAATGACTGATCATTAAATAAAATAAAATACAACTCAGCAAATACTGGTATTCTGAGAAAAACCACGGTATGTTTAAATAATGTTTTCATTGTTTATGCAGCATGGTCTGTAACACATCCAAACTGACCTTTTCATTAGATGTGATGCTGGTCGCAAACAGGAGAGGACTGATGTCAGAGACTGTTTGTTTTTTCCTGCAGGTCTCCAGTAGGTTTAGTAACAATCCAACCTTTGTACATGTAACAGGAAGTAAAACAATTTGCTCAGATTTAGCAAAATGATAAGCAAAACATCTTGTACTGAAACTTTCAACATATTTAATGCTCAGTTTTAATACTTGATTAAGTAACATATTGCATTTAATATGACATGGCATCTTTTCACCATCACTTATAACAAAAACAGAAGCAGGCAACCACAACTCACAGATACACACATGAGAATGACTAATGGGCTTCTGCAATGCCAATGAACGCTGTCTGCTTCAAACACACCCTGTTGATTCAGTTAGATAAAGTGTCTGAGAAAGGGAGGAATGGGTGGAAGGGTTAGGAGGGGGAAATGTGACGAAGGGAGGGAAGTGAAGAGAAAGAGTAAAGTGGAAGGTTTTAGTAAAGAAGGATGGGGGGGTTGGGCCTTGAGGAAAGAAGAAATAAAAGAGTCAGTAAATGATCCCATGTGTTGCTGGCATTAAAATAAAACTCCACCTCTTCCAGAAGAAGTGAGGAGGAGATGAAAGCAAAGGATACTGAGTAAAGGGGATGTCATGGAAACGCCCAAGGTAACTGTCACTGGAGAAGTGAAGAGCATGGAGAAGAGAGGAAAGGAGGAGATCTGTCAGGATGGGAATGGCTCTGGCATGAGGGAGGCAAAGGATGACCATGGTTAACAAGAAGAAAAGTTACATGAAAGATGAAAGCAACAATTCTAAAGCAGAGACGGGGAGAGATGGAGGAATGAAGCAGAGAACTGGTGAACACCCGCTGACAATTAAAGATCCAGTGAATACGCATTCTGTCAACACTGCCCTGAAAAACAGGCCACTGCCAAAAATAGAAATAAAACAAAAGCTGAATGAGTCCCTAAAGTAAGTTTTTTTCCTCCACCGCCCCTGTGCTGCCACGTTAAAGGGACAATCCTTGGGAAAGAAACACCCTGGCAGCCAGACGGGAGCCAGGGAAAGACAAAGCACCTTCAGTAACAGCTGGCATTCACTTTTAAACAATAAAGAGAAAGAAGAGAAAAAACTATCTAAATAATGGGTGGGCAGGTTCACTAATTCTGCTTCATTGTACGAAGTTATTAGTTCAACTAATATAGTTTTTTAATGTTTTGTTTTACTCGATGATGACAGTGATTGAGAGCCCATGAGAGATGACTTGTACAGTGGTTCAGTATTCTATTCAACCAAGTTCTTTTCACTTCTCAGATTGTTTTATTTGAGTATTTAAATGCTACACTTTTGTCAAACAGTGAATTAAAGTGTGCTTCTTTTGCAGAGAGGATGAAAGTAATAATATAAATGCCAAGGAAGAGCATTGTTTAAATGTTAATAAATGTATTAACATAATCACATGTTAATATACAGTATACATGCATGACAATAACAATATTTGTATAAAAATATGTATCATATTTTGGCACAGCAACATTGTGGTCAGTCCATGTGTTCAGTCCTGTGTGCTGCTGTCTCTCTCTGTGCCGCTGCCTTCTGGGTGTGAACACACACTCTGCTGAGTTTTCTCCTCCTCCGAGCTCCTCTTGATAGTCAGCTCTCTCTCAGCCTCCTCAGCACATGGAGCTTTGGGGGCCTGGATGTGGAGCTTCCCGTCTGGAGCCAGGCAGCATGTGACGGCTTCAGGGTTCAGTCCTTCAGGCAGATCAAACTCCTGTCTGAACTCCTGCAGTCTGTAAGAGTAGGAGCCTTTCCCATCCTCCTGCTTCTTCTCTGTCTTCCCACTGACTCTCAGCTTCCTGCCCACCTGCCTCACAGACAGCTCCTCTGGGGAGAAGCCGCGAGTGTCCAGGGTCAGGCCAAAGTGCTCTCCCTCTTTGTCCAGCTGGTAGGAGACCGGCTGCACGGCCACACTGCTTTGGAAAGGCTCTGTCTCCTCCAGGATCTTATGTTGAAGTTTGTGCATCAGCTCCAGACTGCAGCGCAGCTCCTGTAGGTTTCTCCGCAGTAGATCCTGCTGGTAGAGCAGAGGTCTGACCTCTGGCCACAGACTGCGTACAGGCCAGTGGAAGTCCATGAATGGACTGAGGGCAGACTGGAATCCATGAGAGCACAGCATCTTCAGCGTGTGTTTAGCGTCGAGTTCTCTTGCTGTAAGTAGAGACACTGTTAAGGAGTCTGTTTTCTTCAGTGTTGCTTTCTGTCTCAGCAGTGGGACTGGCCCAGCTTTTATGTTCTCACTAGAGGAGCTCCAGAGGCTTCGGGAACTTTCCTGTCATCTCTAGCGCTCTCCACTGGGTGGAGCTGCTACCCTGGAGCACTGATGGCACTGGATGATTCTTGTTTCTCATTTTTTCCTGTATGACATGTTTCATAGTCGACATGGGAGATACAATGTCGTTTCTTTATGAACTTTATAATAAAAGTTAATAACACAATTGCAGTGATTTTTTTTATCATTTATTTTCCATATTTACTGGAAAATACTGACCAAAAAGCGCACACTCATATATCTTTAAATATTCTAACCATTAAATCTTTAGTAGAACCAATAAAAATGAGACAGGAACGCAGGGTTGTGGCCACAAACATAGGGAAGTGAACATTTGCCACATACAGTAGAACTACTGTTATGAAGCAATATCACTGAGCTAGGTTTCAGTGGGTTTTTTTCATGAATGAATGATGTGTCCCCGTGATCCAATCAGCCAATGAGCAGCTCGCACCTGCAGTATTTTGCAGCTCTGCAGCAACAAGAGGTCACCACTCTCCATAACGTGGAGGAGTGTGCAGGGTCCACCACGGTTCCGGCTTCGCCCAGGCCTCCGTGCGCGCATAAGTGCAGATATTAAAGAGGGGCTTTCTATTTCGATTACTAGACTGTAATGCCGCTGAAAAAGGCCGTAGCTCTGGACAGACGAATGGATTTGGCTTCGCTTTTCTGCATGATCGCGCGACACGGTCCCGCCGTGGCTCTGGCTGTAATAGCGATGGTGTCCGTGCTGGGGGTTTTCGTTATCTACCGCAGGGGGAAGCGCAGGAAGGCCACAGCTGCAGCCGCGGACAGGGACAGCAAGAGCCCCGGAGTCGAGAGGTCCGTGATCCGTCCGGATCAGGAGCCGAGCCCGGAGGAATCGCACAGCTTTGTGGAGTCAACAGGTAAACGCCCCACAAACGCGCTATCACACGCGGAAGGTTACAGCAGGTCACAGGTGTTGGGATTTACAAGTCACTAGGCCACAGTATGTGAATCACCATAGCCTACTGGTTATGGTGATTCGGTTTAAGACCATCTAAACTTAAAACAGAGGCTCCCAGAATACCCTGTCATTAAAAAATGATGGTCCCTAAGGACGTCATAAATTAACAGGTAACATAACCGCATCAATACTGAGAAGGCTTTGAGTTGCCTACAATAAAACCAGTAGGCTTTTAGAACTTAATTCGGGACCGCTGGTACAAGCTGACCTCCTATGCTGATCCAAATAGGCTTTTTATAGGCGAGATACAGTTACCATAGTAGCCTACACGGGTTAGTAGCGGCATACAGTTGTGTAGACTACTGTGATGAGTGAACTGAACTTTAGCAAACGGACATGAACAGGCTGGGCGGGGGGTGGGGGGGGATGTGATGTGATTGAGTAATTGATGTCGGGGGTGTGTGTGAGTGGTGGACACCAGGAAAAGGTGAGGAGACGCTTAGTGTTTTAACACGCACACACACTGTCACACACACCTGCACCTGAGGCCAATTACTCACATGCCCACTCAAGTTCCCGTCATTCTATTAAAGCTGAGTCATTCACACCACACTTGTACTCCAGAACACTAATTTGAAAGCCGGAGGTATTGTTCATGTAGCTCTTTAAATATGAAACGCTGTTGTAAACTAAACAGTATAATTAAAATTAGGTCAAACTTGTTCATCTGCAACAGTAAAATGCATGATAATCAATAATAAAATAACACTCTCAGGGACTATTTTTGTAATATATTGCACTCCTGCTCCAAGTACATTTTAATATTTTATATCATAAAACATAACTTGTAACTGAGTATTTCCCTTAGTCATAAAAATTGGTTTGAAACTAGTGTTTTCATAAGACGTCTCTACAACTGTTCTGTCAACACAGCATTTTCCCCCTTAAACATGTTTAATTTGGCACACCTCAAAGTTAATATCTCCTTTCAGCTGACGCATGCAGGAAAAAAAAAACTGCCTGGGGTACATGATTTTGGCCACATGAAGCAAGGCCAACAAATCACTGCTGTTTGCAGTGATTACTCTTTCTATGATTGCATTACGTGCTGTCCTGTCTTTATACAGTGATACAAAAGGGGATAGGACAAAGGTCAAAGTTTGACCTGGTTTTTAACATCCTTTCTAAACAGAATGCAACCAATAAACTGTTAATAATAATCAAATCAACATATAACACTAGATAGTATTGGTGTAAGGTATACACATGCTACATTGTTTGTATCCCTGAAAATTAATCGGCTAAAATGCACCAGCCATTTTGAATCATTTTAATTTGCTTTTCCAGATGCGAGTGAAAGCTCGTCAGATGTGAAAGAAGATCTAATTCAGAGGCCTTTCGAAATCAGGCAGCGCCGTGCTGTTGCTACTGAAAAAGGACCCACACCTTTTTCTTCTTGGAAGAATGATTTCCAAATACCAGCCAACAAGCGCACCACATCAGATGACACAGAGGAAATGGCAGCTGTGCAAGGCTCTAATAATATAACAGGGATGTTTGCAGAACAGGCCAGTGGGAACCTGCAAAGCGACGCTTACGAAGTGGAGGATGCTGCCAAATTCTACCAGAGTGCAACAGATGATACTAGTAATGGTTTGATAGAAGAGGTAGATAATAATGATAGATTTCAGACTAGCCTAGTACAATACACTTGTCTACTTTTGTCTTGCATGACAGTCCAGAAAATCTGAAGTTTTTTTTTTCATTTCTTTTCAGGTGGTTAAAGCAGAACACCAAGAAAATGAGAATGTGGCCACAGACAAAGATGTGTTTGGGAAAACCGGACAAGAAGTGGAGAAGTGTGCTTCAAACAGTCCAGTCTGTTTTGACCAAACCCCTCACATGAGTGAAAATGTTGATGATGACAGACCACAATCTGAACTCGCACCAGAGCCAAACAGCGTGGTGTCCAAGTTGGAAGAACCTGTCGTCCATATCAAAGACGTGCCTGTCTCTTGCATCCGTTACGGGAAAGAGGAGGAATTTGAGGAAGAAAATCGCCATCCACACAGCAATTATTCCAGCAATGTGCACCTGTCTCCAGAAGAAACAAAGAACAATGAGAGTGAGGAGGCAAAGAAAGAAGATGAGAACTACCAAATGGCTGCTCAACAAACTGGGACCCAGTCTTCAATATCTGAACAAGAAATGAGCGTGCCATCATCACAACAGGATCAGTCTGATCACATGACAGACAAGGTGTCGCCACACCATGATGATGAACAAGTGAATGAAGAGGTTATAGCTAAAGATCACTTAAAAGCATTTAGAGATGTCACATTTGATACCCACTCACCACAGGTTGAGCAAGAAAGGGAGACTGAACAAAAGGAAGGTCTTGCAGGCCATCAGGAGGATGTTGTTCCACCTGTAACCACTGATGCAAGACCTCAATTCTCAGGTATCCTTGATTTGCCTGACTTGACAAGGGACTCTCAACAGCCACAAAGTGAAGTGAAAGAAGATGAAATTGCCCCACCTTTGTCTAAAAACATAGAGGCTAATATTCTTAGCCCTCACCTGCTGTGTCTCAAAAAAGACCAAGGTACAACCGGTGCTGCTCCTTTGGCTGAGAACATTACTACACCTCCCTTGTGTCAAATTCACTCGCTGTCTTTCAGGCCAAGTGAGTTTAGGGACAATGACAAGGATAGCATGTCATCTCCTGGTACTGGAGAAGAGAGTGGGATTTCAAGCCTGACTGTCAGCCCTGATTTGCAAGATGTTGGAAATGAGTTGGACGTGACCGTTGAAAATGCAGTGCTTCCTGTATTGGATTCTGAACCACAGTCTGAAGAAAAGGTAGAGGCTCAAAACATCCTCCTCACTGATGATGCAGCTGTATCTGTTAATGAGGATACAGCAGGTATGGTGTCTGGGCCTTACCCATCACATCTCTCCCAGCAACCTCACAGTGAGAGCACAGACGGGGCTAAGTACGAGTCATTTGCAGCCAGTGAGGACACTCTTGGCCGTGACACCGAGGACAAGTACCACAGAGCGTTGGATCAGTTGGCAGTGCAGAGTTCAGCAAGTGTTGCCAGTGAGAAGAAGACACAGGCAGACATTAAAGATGTTCTTCCAGTGGTAAAGATTACAGATAACAAGGAAGGAGTAAGTGTTGAAAAGAAAGCGGAGAAGGAAAAGAATTATGAAAAGACTGAAATCAGTATCATGGAGGCGACTATGGATAATAATGAATGGATCTCAGATGGTAACTACCCAGTCCTTCCTTGGATGAATGTTTCCCTCCCATCTTCTGCCCAAGAAGACACAAAAAACAACCAGCTTCCCACTGGAGAATGTCAACCCAGCTCTGGCATAGATACAGATGGTACACCCCGCATTCAAGTCAGTCAAACCAGCACACGCTCTGTTGACGAAAACAACAAGAAGGTTTTGGCGGTGCTGCCCATGCCTCAGAATGTCAGTGTGACCTTCCGCATCCACTACCTCACTTATTCGCCAAACCAGATGGTGGCTGTCACAGGCAACCAGCAGGAGCTGGGGAACTGGAAGGAATTCATTCTGCTAGAGAGTGCTGAGGACGGATACTGGGCCGCTGTGGTCAGCCTGCCCGCAGAGAGCCATGTGGAGTGGAAGTTTGTGGTGGTCGACAAGGGCAAAGTGTGTCGCTGGGAGGAGTGTAGCAACCGCCACCTTGATACAGGTTATGGAGAAGACCTGACTGTGCACAAATGGTGGGGATTCTTGTAGGAGTTGGAGAGGGCAGAGTTGTAGAGGTGAGACAAATTGATGACATCTATGGTAAAACTCTGGTACTGGACCAGATAAAATCTGAGTTTAATGTACATCCCATCATATGACCCACAAGAAAATGACATCTAAAACTCAACTAATGGTAATTCTGTAAAGTATAACAGTATTAAAACATTCTAGTAAGCCCTGATTTGATCATCTGGAGGATAAAGATATCAAGATCTAGAATATTAGGCTAAATTTAGTTGAAACAAGAAAGTATAAAAGTCTGAAAGTAGACTTTTATGCTGATTTAGTTATTTTTAAGCAAAAATGTCTGAAATGGAATGTGAATGTTTGCTTTTCTCACCTTTAGCCTATTATAATTTGGTTACTTTTACGTGAAACAAGCCACAGATTTCAATATGGGCTCTTGGAAGTGGGGGACAATTTGAAAGTGTGGGGTTGGGGGGTGGGGGGGGGGGGGCAGCAACAGTTGCAATCCTATGTTTGAACATGCAGCTGGTTTCACATTGAAATGATTTGTTGAAACAGTTAGACAAATGTAATTTTAACCAGGTTTCTACCTAGATGTCTTTTGAAGTGCACATTTCCATGATGAAACTTCACTTCATGCGACTTTCCTCTGAGGATTGCCCTCCGATAGCGAGTGATCAGGTGGATCTTTCTGTGGACAGGACGGAAAGAAGATGAACGATTACATTACAGTATGGCAATATCTCATTATGCAAATTGCACCTTTTTAAAAGTGGGTGAAGTTTAAGGAAATGGACTGTATACTCTCTATGCTGCTTGAATATTCCCAAACAATCTATGAGAATAAATGCACATAGTTCACTTTTACTACAGCAATAATCAAAGCAATAATTTTTGAGTGGTGTTATATCGGGTATTATGTGTTTCTCACACTAAACTGTGATGCTGCTTTTAACTCAGGACTGTGCATGCATGTTATCCCTATTGCTGTTCTATGAATGTGCCTTTTTAAACATGACTTTTCTATTAATGTGTTGTAATGTATCACAAAAGGGTCTTTGCTGGTCATGTTTTGTTTTACTGCAACTTGTATTGGTTTAATTATGTTCACAAGTTAGTTTTTACTCACAGTACAATATAGTCTGTCATGTCAAATCAGAATATCCTAATATGCAATATTGTGAAGATATTATTGAATGTTATTAAAGTGGAGCTGGTTACCAAATAAATCTTCCTCTTCCATGTTTTGGCATATGTTTCTTAGACGGGCTTTTTTTTTTTTTGTAGTACCTTCTGATGTTGGCAGGTACAAAATGGTTTTCAGGCTAGTGCCACCATATACACGTGGTCTTTGCTGTCTAAACATCGCTGAATCATTTACTGCTGTTTGCAACAAACACACATAGCTTATGTGAGGTCTAGTGTGGTAATACACTAAAATAAATTTTTTTTTTTTTTTTTAAAACCATTTGCTTCTAACTATAAGCTCAGACTGTGACCTTGTTTCGAGTCCAGCTGGTGAACTGATGGTTCCTGCAGGAAATGCATCACTAGCAGGTGTAAACTCAGGCCAAGCTTTGTGCTGAAGGTGACTCTGTACCTGAAAAGTGCTCCTCAGCTGCAAGTCCAGATGCTGTACAAACTGAATACTAAACACATGCACTATGCACAAATGTGGGTTCCAGTTCTGTAAATTTAATTGGACTGCAGGGAACGGGATGGTTTCACAAGGTTATTTCAGAGGATAAAACCATAGGCATGCAGCACTAAAAGAGACATTAGGGGAACAAAGAGTGGTCTATTTTTCCTTCATATATTTAAAGGTAATGGTTCATTGGCAGTCCACATAGCAAAGGAATTCAGAGATGGCCATGCACAATAATTACAAAGGCAAATGAAATAATACAGGTGATATCAGCAACAACAGGCTGTAAATTAAAATGTTTACTGTATGTGTCAAATTTTTCCAACATAAACCTACCACTTGACCATCTATAAATGTGATCATCTGGGAGGTCCCTCCATCTAACATGACTAACACCATAGTAAAGGGAGTCTCTATCAAACCCTGAACTTTTGCAGGATTGACACCATTCACCTCTTATCCAAACAAGATGTCGTGCACTCATTGTGGACACGCTTCAAACAGGGTCAATGGGACGCTGCTCAGCTATGAGTCACATGTTTTCTGGTGTCTTTTCTGTTTCAAAACAAGTTCAGGGAACCTTTGCCTGTTTGCCCCACTGCAGAGAGCCAAATATAACAAAACGTGATGTTATATAGAGCCTCTGTTTACACTAAAAGCTCACTAACCTAGGAGCTGATCAACTAACATGTTCTGTGGAGTGTAGCTGCTGCACACTCCCACACTGCGCACTTTTTAAGGTTGAAGGCGATCCTTTATTTAGACACAAGGCTTACAACTGACACCATTTACACTGCACTTGTAAATCACTCTATCTTTGACAAATGGTGTGAGAGAGAAAGATACAAACATGTAAATGGTTAAGCCAATGTTTGATCTCTGTTAAGGCAAACGTCTTAACAATGAGTCATCTGTCTAATCTGGACTCACCCCTCTGTCAGGGTCTCTACATACAGTTAGCTGAACAAAGTCCTCACATCAGCACCTTGAAATGATTTAGCTCTCGTCTCATTGTGGTAATGAATAACGTGGTATTGATGGTAAAATGTCAGCAGGTTTTCTTTGACCAAAACAAGTAAAGTAGGTGTGCTAATGATTTTTTTGACTGCTCAATTATCAAATATATGAATTCTATTTTTAATGGACAGAGACAGTAAACCTTTATGCTGCAATTTATTTTTAGTAATGGGGCCAGGTTTTAATGAGGACAAAATGTGTGGAAAAATAAAATATACAGTAATCTATATTTTTTACCCTCCATCTGAGAGAGAGCGATGCTAAATACTATACAGTACTAGAAAAGGAGTAGTGTGGCTTTACATACCCTATAATGTACTGTATGGGCCATGTCTTAAATTCCACTTTGACATTTTTGAGGACATATAGTAAATACATTTACATATAGTAAATATTGTATAATTTAGACATTCAAACAAAAATGGCAACATACAGTATGTTGTAAATAGAGAGTAGTCATTTAAAGCCATGTTATGTCATGCGTGAGACTGAAAATGAGGAATTTATAATTCAACTTCAATCCAGAAATTCAATCTGGAACTCATGTTCATCAGAAAAGCACTCTCCTACTGTAGTTAATTATATAAATGTCTGTGACACTTTTGCTAAGCAGAGCACAGAGCAACGGAGCCTACTAGAGTGAAACTCAGTGATCCACGCTGCACCGCTATGTGTGACATTCTCTTGAAGTTCAGTCTGCTGTCTCCTCTTACAGGAGCTGACCAGTCAAACCAGACTAAGGCTTTTCACTTGAACTTTGACCTAGGAGGATTGTATGATATTAGAGATTGGGAGCATGTATCTGTGAATCTATGCTGTGCTTTATTGAATATTTTACACAGTGTCTGCATGTGTCAGTTGCTATGCTTTCAGTCTAATCCATTATTTCCTTTTCTTTATTCGTAATTTATCCCAGTTTGTCATTTTTTTATTTGTCGTATTAATTTTTCTTTTCTTTTTGACATGATTTTATTTGATCTTCATTTTTCAGTGATACGGGCCAGAAGGTTGGTTGTGGAAAATATTAAAATGTGACATAATCTTAGGTTTCTTCATGAAATAGTGAAAATCATCTGTCAGTATGCTATGACATGGTTGTGGATAGGCTGTGCCACACATGCAGGCTATTTATACAGCATGCCAGTCCTCTGTGGTATCATGCAGTGACATTCACTGGAGATTGTTGAGCCTGGTGACTATGCTACATGTCCATAAGGGGGAGGAGCACTGAGCAAGGGTTAAACTGCAGGGGAAGGAGGGTATATGAGCTGAGATTTTGTTTGTTTGTTTCACTTTTCCTGAATTTATGTGGCATTCAGGTGAGTATATGTAAAGATCTGTCAACTTGAAAGTGAGGTCATCAGATCAGACTTCTAAAGGGTTTTAAAAACATTTAACATCAAATTTTAGATCATTTTTATGTAATCTTTCAGAAATGCTATTTTTCTATTACCTTTACTAACCCCTGGATCTCTTTGTGAAAAAATATACAGTATACTTGTTCTCTCATCTATAAAGCGGAATTGCAGTCTGTTTCATAGTCACATTTCTTCACAAAGTCATACATTGAAATAGACACCAACCTGTTTCTTTTTTCCATGGTTCAGAAAGCAAACTGAAAGCCCTTCTGGACCCATGTCATACTGGGACAGCCCTCTACCACTGTCATCATCCACTGCAGTTGTGGGCTGAGTGCACTATGAGTGTGCCTGCAGAAGTACAATATGGAAAGCATGAGTGAAAAGAGAGAGCATGAAAGTGCACATGGCTGCATGAAAACAAATCTAAATAAGGGTTGAATTGAAGCTTCCTAAAGAAGGTCATCTTATGAAATATTTACAATAACCACACAACTCAGTGTACAACGATAAAACATAAGTAGGTGATAAAACTTATAGGTTAGTTCTGTATGGATGTTTTATTTCATGAAGCATCGTACATGAAACAAAGCTAACATCTTCAACATTAATCAGATCAGCATATAAAGGGAAATTCTTCAATCCTTTCTTATAAAACTTATTTGGAATGAATTCTCATTCATTTTTATAATATACTGTTTCTGTAGAGCTTTCTGTGCTTGTATGCTGCATTTGTGAACCGCATTTCCCATGTCTACTTGCATGAAAAACAAAGGTGTGCTATCTTTAATATCAGTGAATAAAACAGGCCTCCTTTTTTCATGTTTGAAGGAAAACACTGAATTCTTCATTGAATATAAACTACATAAACTAGCTATAAACAGTACTTGCAATACTACGGAAAATCTTTTTGAAGAACAGATGTCAACTGTATTTTTGTTACCACTTAACCCTCTTTTTCAGTTAGCTTACCTTGACAGACATTTTAATAAAAATAAAAAGTCTAAATAAATGGCTACACAAATCAATCATTTTTTTATTTACAGTTGGTCTCCCATTTAAGAATGTGAACAATTCAGTCAAAATGCTTATGAACAAAGTTCATCAAATGTGAGCCTAAGGAGCCTAACATGATGAAATGAAGGTCACAATGGTAAAATATGTCAAAGAACTGAAAGGACTGAACAAAGTACTTGTGTGATATGTGCCATCTACTAGTCAGCGCTCTGTCCCTAGTATGACACTGGCTCCACAAAGCTGAAAACACAGTTCAAGAGAACACTGCCCCCTGGCTTTAAAACACTGCGACTATCACAGTACCTGTAAAGTGATACTGAACAGTTGAATATTACATAAACAGATTATTAACACAACACATTAAAAATAATAAAATAAAAATATTTAAGACATTAAAAAAAAATTCCTGTAAATGAAATGCAGTGTATTCATGACAGATGTCAACAAAAACTGAAATCAGTGTTCGTGCTTTCTCAGAGTACTAGCAATTCATTTGAGGAAACCAACATTAAAAAGTGCAAAACGCAACTTCATGTTACAGGCAGTGACACAGTTCAGTTTCAAATCTCCAAAACCTTTTGATGTGCATGACACAATCTCATTCTTATTGTCATTTATGGTTTTGCATGTACAGTACAGTTTTAACCCAGTACAGTAGAGTATGTTTGGCTGTTTTCCTATAAGCATTTTAGTCTGACTTTCTTTCCCGTCTGCTAGTTACAGTTTTTCAACAGTGTCAAATCATGCTTGAGATAGGTCATCCATCACAGTCAACATCTACATCAAAATCCAATCTACATAATTTGAGTACCTATTTAAAAGTGGTTCTTTACAAGTTGATTGTTGTAATGAAATAAATGAAAACTATATCTGGAAGTTGTGAATTTTATCCATTTTGGAAAGTGGCTGTCAGCAGTGTAAAGAGAGAACATGTGCATACTCTCATGACTGTGAGATTAAGCTCCAACTCTTTCTACTGGTCCCACAGTAACGCTGCAGTGGTCTTTTCTAAGGGCTCGTTGACTCCTCTGACACCTCTTTGATGGTGCGGTAGTGCTGTGGCTGATTCTCAGCCAGAGGAGAGTCTGTTTGGGTGAACAGGACTGCTCGATTCCTCAGGGGCCGTTTCAGGAGGAACCTTCGAGATGTCACCAGATCACCATAGCCATGGGAGTGGGAGAAGGCGTAGCCTGACCGACGGGTGCTGATACGCCTAGCGGGTGGGCGGCGAGGTGCAGGAGCTGGCAGCTTCTCTTTTCGTACCTTACGTCTCACCTAGAAGTAGGGAATGGACAAGTCTTATATTCTTAGGATGAAAATTTGATATGAAACTTTATTATATCCAACATATGCAATACATCAAAAGCCCAGAGAATTAAAACATTATAGAGATAACAACAGTGTGGATAACTGTCATAACTGTCTGCATAGTCATGTGTTACCTCACCTTGTCATTGATGGTAGGCCGAAGCTGAATGAGGATGAAGCGGAAAGCCACCACAGGCAGGATACAGAGGAGGAGAGTCAGGAATATGGTCAGCCACACGTTAGGCTGGTTCAGAGAGTTCCTAGCAGTGCCTGGGCTCAGAAAATATCAGACCACTAGTGAGAAACACTCAGTAATAATGATGTATTAATAAACAGCATATTAGTTTTTCTGCATATACAGGTTATCATTGACTCTGCACACATTTAAATCAGTGCACAAACCACAAAAAAACAGATAGAAAAATAGACTGGATAGGATTACTGGCAACCAAACTTGTTGAGGTTAACGTAGATAAAAATAAATACACTTGCTAAACCGGAGGCGAACCCTGCTGTTGCCTCAGTGTATTTTCTCAGGAATGAACGGCAAGGGGAGCTGACAACCATTCTGCTTCCATAAACAAGATCAGTCACCGATCAGTCACCTACTCACCAACAAAGGGGAAAGAGGAGGTGAAGATGAAGAACATGCCATTGCTGTACATGGTGAATGTGATGGCAAAGTAGGCGGCCAAGCTGCCCCAAACAAAAAACTGGTTTACTGCTGTCCAATAGTAGGTGTCCAGGCACAACTGAAAAATAAATTTTTATCTGTTGGTTTTCTAAAGTCTGGTGCACATGTTCATTCACAAAGTGTCTTGTAGGGTAGGTAATGAACAAAGTCTATCACAACATGTTTAAATTTATTGAAAAAGCATATGGAAATTTGATTTAAAAATACAGATAAATAAAATAACAAAATGTGAATTTATGTTTTTAGCTAATCTGGTGAATTAAATGCCTTAAAAATCGAGCTACTTTCTCAAATTAATGTAAAAATTCTGCAACCTTTTGCGGTTGCTGCATTCCTCACCTGAATGTTCACCACAATAAGCAGACAGGTCTGCGCCAGTAAAGCAAAGGACTGATAGTCTGCTATGTCTTTGCCATCATCACGGACTGTGTCCTGCATGGCAGCCCAGGGGATGTATAAGAGAATGAGCGAGCTGTAGCAGCTGTGTAACATACATTGCACAAAAGCTTTCTTATTAAAGTAGAGGCTCAGCTGGCCTGGGCAGTAGAGCTGAGGATACTGGAAACTCCAACGGTCATTCACATCCTGCAGAAACACAAGATTAGTCAGAGGGCAGAGAAAGAGGATACAGAAACCAGGGACTGAATTAAGTGTAAATTATATGACATTAACCTAAAAAAAATACTGAGTAGTTTTAGAATAATTACAAATTGAATTATATGACATTAACCTAAAAAAAATGCTTACAATAATAATTACAAATTTTACCCTTAGTGCACACTGTACCTGGTCAAAGAGGCTCAGGCCAAGGACAGGAAGAGCCGTGTAAACCAAGTTGTATAAGGTGATGAACCACTCATCATACACAGTCTACGAACAACAACAAAGACAAATGCCTTAACAACATTGTATTTTTACAAGCCTCACCTACAACAATTGGTATATAATATTAGAGAAGTGCTCATACAGGACTCAATTTCATCAGCACATATAGGACATACAGTATCTGTGAACTCTTACTGTACTTATACATCAAATTTGCAATGGAACATTACAATATATACATTTTCTAGTTCCATCTCTATCAAATTTTGATTTAAATTCATTTCATTGAAGCATAACATTAAATTAGACATACAGTCAAGTCAATCTACAGTATTCTTAGAATTACTTGTCTTACAAATTCCTTAATTTTTCACATGTAACCTCTTAACTTATGTTATGTACTATAATTCCAATATATGCTCCTCACCTGTGCAGAGAAGCCACAAAAGAAGGCATACCAGAAATGCACAAAAGTGAAGGTGAAATTCTTGTAAAAGAAGTATCGTAGAAACTTGCACATGCGCAGATAGGACCAGCGACCATGCACCAGCAGGAGGCGCTGAAGGTAACGGAACTGGGCAAAAGAGTAGTCGCTTGAGAGAACTGCTTGCATGCCCTCCTGACCGCTGATACCTACACCGATATGAGCAGCTGAAGGACAGGCAGTAAAGAAAGAAACAGAATTCACACAGTGAGTAACATAACTATTTACCAGATCTTTGTTTCAACTGATCAGACATCTCTGCAAGTCGGTGTCAGAGGTGAAAAAGTTTACCCTTGATCATGCTAACATCATTGGCACCATCTCCAATGGCCAGAGTGACAGCCTGCTTGTATTTTTTAACCAGCTGAACCACCTGGGCTTTCTGCAGAGGGGTGACCCTGCAGCAAATCACTGTCTGACACATACACGCTGTTCTCAGCAGCTCCCACTGTAAGTTCTTCTCCAGTGCAAAGGCCTGAGCATAAAAGGAAGTATGGAATTACTGATCTACTGAGATTACGAGTAAAGTCCTCCCAACGCCACTCTAACACCCCCGGAAAGCAATTCTCAAAATTCTCTCGACATTGCCAGGAATAAAACTATGGAACTTTTTTCTGGGCCTAAAGTCAATTAAATTTAGATATATTGCATATCAAATACTAAAATCAAAATGTTTTGAAAGTTAAAAAAACATGACACCCAGTATGACTTTTTTGGGACCAAGAACAAATGGAGACAAAAAGGAACAACATTTCCTGTTAATTAATCAGCTACTGAAAAGAGAAATGTGCCTGAAAAAGCTTCCTTACTAGGCTGTGTCCATTTATAACTAGGCCATATTCTCCATTCACTGTCTCATCCTGTATGGTCTCTGTCTTCTGAAGCCAAAACAGGCCTGCACGAGCCTTGATCACAGATGGCTTCTCTGCTGCTTCTGGACACATTTTCCTTCTTGCATTCCTGAAAACAGTGGGAGATGGATTTGGCTGGGTGAATTTAAAAT